CCACCCCCAGGAAGCAGCCTGTGACAGCTGACTAACACCCAGGTACCTATTTACTGCTAGGTAGCAGGGGCATAGGGTGAAAGAAACTCTGCCCATTGTTTCTCGCCGGCGCCCGGGATTGAACCCAGGACCACACGATCACAAGTCCAGCGTGCTGTCCGCTCGGCCGACCAGTTCCCTGGTCCCTAATTTGTCTATATGGAGGAAAACCTAGAATGACTTTGGTAGCATTAACACTCTCCAATCATATTTTCATGAAATTATTTTTAGCTGTAATAATCATTACTAAATATAAAATAACATTGTTTTACTATATTGAACTAAGTAAAATTTGTAATATACAAACTATAATTTTTTCATTCTTGAAGTTTTATCCAAATAAAATTAAATTTACAATTAATACAGAATATACCACATAGCACAGATTAAGTACACCAAAAATGCCTCGTAAACAATGGGGGGTGACCTTTGACAAATCACCATCTTCCTGTCTCCATCGTGGCCACTAGAGAGATGGTGGCCTTCTAGTATATAAAATAAATGAACTGCTCTCATTACAAACCTGAATCTGAACTGTTCAATGTCATATATGAGGCAGCGTCCTCCCTTTTCTCCACACGAACTCTTCCAGAGGAGACACGTAGAGTCGATCACGGACCCAAACATGATTGGTGCCGGAATGTATGCAATGAGACGGAAAATCACGAACTGCACACCCAGGGCAAAGGACCTCTCTTCCTCATCCACAGACCTGAAGGATACATCATGTAATTAGCCCCTTGAATGCTGATAAATGAAATACAGTAAAGTAGTAATCATTCTCACTGTTGGGGACAGGAAGCCTGGGGCCAGATTCACAAAATCACTTACGCAAGCACTTACGAACGTGTACATCTTTCCACAATCTCTAACAGCTTTGGTTACATTTATTTAACAGTTTACAAGCATGAAAACTTGCCATTCAACTGTTGTTATTGTTATAAACAGCCTCCTGGTGCTTCGGAGCTCATTAACTGTTTAATAATTGTAAACAAAGCTGCCAAAGATTGAGAAAAGATGTACAGGTTCATAAGAGTTTGCATAAGTGCTTTTGTGAATCTGGCCCTTGTACAGTACTTAAGCCCACTACTGACATTCCCAAGGACGCAACCCACAAAAGGTGCCTAACTCTTCGATACCTATTTACTGCAAAGGGAACAGAGGATCAGGTGAATTTTAACATGCACAGCCATTTTTGTCTTACCCAGGATCCTTGACGGTGAGTCGAGGACGTAGACCACTCTACTAGGTTATGTCAAAACTTTATTAAAAATTCCAACTTCTGTACATAAACTACAGTCTCGGCCTTAGAAAAGTTAATTGAACATTCAGTACACTACTGTCCTATTACAGTTATTGCAATGATATGTTCCCAGACATCTCATGTTTTTTACTGATCAGAAAAAAAATCATCATCAATCTTATTAGAAAAACAGAATGCATTTCAGAACCAAAATTTATTTATAAAATTAAATAAAAACATTTGCACAACCACTATAGAATAACCCACCATAAAGTAAACTACCAAACTAGCTGGTATAAGTGGGAAGATACTGAACTGGGCAAGGAAGTACCTGAAGAATAGAACAGCTAGTGAACCATTGAAATCAATGTTAAATCTTTCTGCATAGAACCGTGAGGATACAACGCAAGTATACTTTGAATTTCTTTAAACCCCAAAGTTTTAAGAGCACCACCCATGCAAGTAATAATAGCGTGCCTACCACTGACCTTAGCACAATCATAAGAAGAGGCATCTGACTTATAGCAACAACGGTACACATGAAGAACAGGAGGATCATGAAAGGCATGATAGTGTTGCAGGGAATATAACAGGGGCCAGCAGTTGCTACGGGGACAACCGTCACTTCAGAAAACGCTCCAGCAGTCACCGATGAGGAAGATGCCGAAGGAAAGGGTGAAGAATGGTTTCCTTCCCCAAGTATGCCTGAAAATAGTGATATACAATATAGCTTTTTTCCCCCACACATTTTAGATTAGTAAAAGTAGTTTTAATACCAGTACCACTTTTACATAGTTAATTACATTAATAAATAACCCAACTCACATATGAAATGAAAGAAACAATGTCGACATAAGACGAGGAGAGTTAAGGGGAAAATGTAAAAGATGAAAACCAAGTTGACATAGAACATAAAAACATGGCAACTGCAGAATGACTAATGGCAAGTTAATACAGTAGAAAAATATTAAAATATCATTATCAGTTCATAAAAAACATTTCATCATCTAGTAAATATGATTATCAAAAATCTATGGGGTTTGGTCTAATATCATATGTCTATCTCTTAAGAGTCTAATGGTAGCAAATAAGAGCAGTATGTACTACAATGGTTGTAAATCATTACATAATTATCCATTTGTTCAATGTAGTCGAGCCATCTCGGTACTTTCTACTCAATCATATAATCATATAATTTACTGACCTTTGCATGCCATCATTCCCTGACATATCAATTCTTACATTCTCCATACTGACACCAGAACTGCATGTCAGAGCATCTATTTCTATTTCTACAATTCGCTAATTTTCCTGTTCATGTGACACCAGTCCCTTGCATTCATACAAGAAGGTAGGCACGACCACTTCCACAATACAGTATAAGAGAATTCACTTTTGCAAACAGAGTGGTAGACAGTTGGAACAAGTGAGAAAGTAGAGGAGGCCAAGACCATCAGTAGTTCCACAGCATTATATGACAGAGTACTGGGAAGATGAGACACCACGCAACCCGTTCTCGCAAATCCGTATAGTCAATATTGACTTATTAAATAAGTGCATAGGTGACATACTAAACATAATAGATGCCCTTAAAAAGCTTCATAGAAAACACCGACCTTAACTAACCTTGTTAGTATGTTAAGATAAGCATCTTATAGCTTCGTAATTACAATTGTTACTTAACCTATTATAGGTATAGGTTAAGTAATAATTGTAATTACGAAGCAATAAGATGCTTATCTTAACATACTAACAAGGTTAGGTAAGGTCGGTGTTTTCTATGAAGCTTTTTAAGGGCATCTATTATGTTTAGTATATCACCTATGCACGTATTTAATAAGTCAATATTGACTATACGAATTTGCGAGAACGGGTTGTACCACGAGCGTAGCTCTCATCCTGTAACTACACTTAGGTAATTATTCTATACTGTATTTCTAAAACAGGGCTTTCACTCCACCAGCCATTTTCCTTCATTTTCCCTGAATGTAAACGGCACGAAGAGCTAAACCCCAAGAACTCAGCAGAACAACTACCTGAAGCGACCAGCCCCAAAGAGCCATGGACAGCAGAGAAACCTCCCCCCCTCCCCGGTTGAGACAATGAACCACAGGGGAGCAGTCCGAATGGAGCCCAGAGGCAACCGAATCCGCTACAGTGCCAGCCACACAGCTGCAAACTCCCGCACCGTGCTGTGAGTCTAACGGAAGAACTGAGCCCAATGCTCCTGGCCGGTCTGGTGAGCGCTGATCACAAGACCTCAGCTGAGAGATGAGGCGTCCGTGAACACATCGAGCGCGGGAAGGGGAGGCGCCATGACACTAAACCCTGAAAAACCTGAAGAGGAAGCCGGAGATGCAGCAACCTAAACAAGAACCCTAGAGTCAAAACCTAGCGAATGCAAAAGGGGCTGCCTCGAAGATGATAGAACTCGAAACCGGCAAGCTGGGAAAGAACCACGTTCCTGTTCTTCAGGAATTCAGACACGCAGACTGGCTGGGAGCCCATACCAACCAGCCGTCGAGGTAGGCCACAACCCAAACACCTAGCAGATGAAGACGTACCACCATGACCCTTGTTAACTATGTGAATGTGCAGGGTGCCAGATACGTGAAAACGCAGGGTGTCAGATTCAGACTGAATGGAAGGCAGCGATAGCGGTAAGCCTGACGCCTGACCACAAAACCTAACCAATCCCTGAACCCTGGACGAATAGGAACGTGCCAATAAGCATCCTTGAGGTCCAGATAAATCATCCAAGTGCCCGACACAAGAAGCCAAACATGGGACAACGTAGTCATCCGAAAGGAGGGGCAAGGAATCAAATGGTTCAAACAGGACTAAGTCCAGAATGAATCGAAGATCCGCACAGTCCTGTTTCAGAACCTGAAACAAGCGGTCGCCCAAGCGAACCCACTCCAAGATGACTCAACAGAGACACAGGGAAGAAGCCTGCCCTGTCAGCCCCGAACCTCCGACAAGAGCTGCAGCCCAACGCCACCAAAGTCCAAACAAGACGACACAAAATGCTCATATGACCAAGCATGGGCAAACAGAGTCAGCCGGGGAGGAGGGGCCGTCAACGGGGCCAACGCGACCTCCGAGAAGCCAAATTCCGCACAGAGTGACCACTGCACCAACCAGACAAAGAAGTCCCTGGGGGATTCACTGGCTCTGAAACTGACACCAAAGGCCCACCCTGACCTACCGTAACTCAAGCCCTGGCACGATCACCCTAAGAGGAGCAAGACCTCCCCCCCTCCCGAGCACCAACAAATCATAAATTTGTTTGGGAGCTTGGGAGCCAAGCTCTGAAAGAGAAGAAAGGGCAGCCTGCTAGCCAGGAATACTCCGGAACCTCATAATGACCCAATACGGAGAAGAAGAACTGAACTCAAATGAAGACAGATCCATATCCGACAAATTAATCAGATATGCCATTTAGTGAAGTCATAATATTGTATTGTCAATGGAATGGACAATAGGTAAACCGGGTCTCAAAAGGAGGTAAACACCAAGGGCCTTCCGAACCTCTGCAGGAAAAATCCTAGAGGAAGTAAAACTCCAGAAGGACGTATCCGAGGAATCCAAAGGCACCCGGAAACGAACATGAGGGAAGGGGGAGGGGAAATGATGCATTCAACTTAAATGCATACAGGGACAGACGATACAAAAAAAACCAGCCCTGCAACAATAAACCCCTGCCCAAAAGGCACAAGGGCCCAGGCAGTATCAAAAGGATCCCAAGCACTCCAAGCAGACTACCCCCAAGCTCCGGGAACCCTGGGGCAAAGCCCACATCTACGCCCACTACCCTTAAAGAAAAGGCAGAGGTCTGGGGAAAAGCTTCAAAGAGAGGAGCCTGCAGGGGCCGACTCTGAAGCCTCGGCAGGGAAATCGGGCTCAACCTCTGTCCTCAAATCGGAAGAGGCAACCCCCAAAGCTACCCGAGCCTCATCCCAAGCTAAACTCTGCCCTGGCCTCGAAACCCTCAGACATTTGCGAGTCGGAAGCAGGAAAGGGGAGGAGGAGCAGGGCAAACCACACCCACCTGGAAAGGAAGCAAGGGTGCAGACTGAACCACAATTGAACTAACCAACGCCCCTAAATCCTGGTCCTTAAAACCCAAGCGGGGCAGCTTCGGGGCTTCCAACTGGGCAACCAACCTGGCTCGTTGCAACAAAGAATGCCTAACATGCAACAAAGCCTCTGGCTAACCCCTAACATCCTCAGACAAAGAATGGATAAACTGAATAACAAGAGGAGAACAAATCTCGCAAGATTCAGGGTTGTAGGTGTCTTCAACCCAAGAGGCAGCACTTGACAGAGGCAGGATGGATGATCGTCACCACGAGGCAGAGGCAACGAATAACTTTCAGCATCGCACAAGGCGAGACAGGGTTCAGAAGATACATCCATGGTTATCATGACTTCGGGGCTTAGTGTTCCCACGGCCCGGTCCTCGACCAGGCCTCCTTTTTGTTACACCTTCCCCCCCCCCCCAATGAAACAGCCTGTAGCAGCTGTCTAACTCCCAGGTACTGTACCTATTTACTGATAGGTAAGAGCAGTAAAAAGAAAGAAATCAGGGTGAAAGAAACATTTTGCCCATTTGTCTCCACCTCCACCGGGGATCGAACCAGAACCTCAGGACTACGAATCTGAAACGCTGTCCACCCAGCTGTCAGGTGCCCGTTGTACCCCCGAGCCCAACAGGGTTTTTTAGGGTCCGTAAGGTATGTTAGCTCTACGGGAAGCCCAGACAATGGGGCCAGCTAAGCCGGTAATGGGGAAGTCGCTGTGAAACTTCGGGGCAACACAGGACGACCACCAACACAACCTAGGCTAGCCTAATGGGAAGCTAGGCAGACCACCTTCATCAAAAATAAGCAAAAACTCCCAAAATAAACAAAATAAAGTAGGTTCTAGTGCCTACCAGTCTCTGGTAGGCACTAGAACTCCAGAGACAGATGGCACCAAACTAATATGGCACATGTCAATTTGATAGCTTCAGGGAGCTGGGTACCTTGAGGCTACCTTGAGTGCTTCCGGGGCTTAGTGTCCCCGCGGCCCGGTCGTCGACCAGGCCTCCGCCTGGTTGATCAGGTATCCTTTGGAGGTGCTTATCCAGTTCTCTCTTGAACACTGTGAGGGGTTTGCCAGTTATGCCCCTTATGTGTAGTGGAAGCGTGTTGAACAGTCTCGGGCCTCTGATGTTGATAGAGTTCTCTCTCAGAGTACCTGTTGCACCTCTGCTTTTCAACGGGGGTATTCTGCACATCCTGCCATGTCTTCTGGTCTCATGTGGTGTTATTTCTGTGTGCAGGTTTGGGACCAGCCCTCAATTATTTTCCACGTGTAAATTATTATGTATCTCTCCTGCCTGCGCTCAAGGGAGTACAGATTTAGGCTCTTTAGTCGGTCCCAGTAATTTAGATGTTTTACTGAGTGGATTCTAGCAGTAAAGGATCTCTGCACGCTCTCTAGGTCAGCAATTTCTCCAGCTTTGAAAGGGGCTGTCATTGTGCAGCAGTACTCCACTCTAGATAGCACAAGCGTTTTGAAAAGTATCATCATCGGTATAGCATCTCTAGTGTGAAAAGTTCTTGTTATCCAACCTGTCATTTTTCTTGCAGTTGTGACGGCTACTTTATTGTGTTCTTTAAAGGTAAGGTCTTCCGACATGAGTACACCCAGGTCCTTTACATTGCCTTTTCGTTCTATGTTATGATTTGCCTGCGTTTTGTACGTGGTTCCTGTTTTATGTTTTCAATTTTTCCGTAGCGCATGAGCTGAAACTTATCCTCGTTGAATACCATATTATTTTCTGTAGCCCATAGAAAGACCTGATCAACATCTGATTGGAGGTTTGCCGTGTCCTCTATGTTGCCAACTCTCATGAAAATCCTAGTGTCATCTGCAAAGGATGATACAGTGCTATAGGTTGTGTTCTGGTCTATGTCCGATATGAGGATGAGAAAAAGTACTGGAGCAAGCACAGTACCCTGGGGGACTGAGCTCTTCACGGTTGATGGGCTGGATTTTATTTTGTTAACTATTACACATTGGGTTCTGTCAGTCAGGAAATTGTAGATCCATCTGCCTATTTTCCCGGTAATTCCTTTTGAACGCATTTTATGTGCAATAACACCATGGTCACATTTATCAAAAGCTTTTGCGAAATCTGTGTAAATTACATCAGCGTTTTGTTTGTCTTCCATAGCATCTAATGCCATATCATAGTGGTCCAGCAACTGCGACAGGCAAGAGCGCCCTGTTCTGAAACCATGTTGTCCGGGGTTATGGGATTCTCCACAGAAATATGAGTATTAAAACTATGTGGATACAGTACTGTATAATTATAGTATATCTGAGACCTTCCAACAATGAGCGTGAAATAATATAATGTAGAGTTTGTTTCTTAACAAATGAAAAGTGATAGTAAGGAAAATGGACACTACCGAATAGACAAAATAGATTATGCTTCAGCCCATCCTGAATTCCCCTTCAAGTCCAGGATGAGCCAATCCTGGATCATCATCTCTCATCAGAACATCATCTCTCTGTTTCTTTTCATGTGTGCGAGCTGGGCTATTTATTTTCAGCCACATCATTGTGACATTTTCATCATACAAGAGGCAAGACTACAGTCACACACAAGGCACTCCTACCTCCCTTCTGGGTATCTGAACAGATCATCATCTTCCGCTGTCGTCACCACACGCAGGATGTCGGAGGGCATCCAATAAACTAGCCTCCTTTATTGGTGGCAAAAACTCAAGTGGACAAGATCCTATAAATGCACTGGTACTAGTATTACCATATTTGTGAACAGACAGAAAACATGTTTTTGGTCCACCACCAACTGAATATATTGTATTTACACACACAAAGTCATCTTTTTTACCCTCCTACAAAACCACATTGCCTTGCATTTACCATGCCTTGGTTCCAAGGATCTACCTACACATTGCCCAGTGACATTGATCCTTGAGAAAATTAATTTCAATAAATGTAAGGTAAAACATTAAAAAAATGTACACAAAATATAATTCTAAAATAAATGTATCTAATGTTCTGGAAAATACAGTAGTTAAATTTTCACTTACACGTGCAATTTGCAAATTTATGCTGAGGAGAGTACGATGTGCATCCAGCATGACATGGGGAGAAATAGGTGAGTCCATTGTTACCACACACAGGTTCCACAAGTGCGGAGGAACACGAGCACCCAGTATTGCACCATGCGGTCAAGTTAACTTGGAATGCTCCACCATTATCCAAGCGACCAGGACTGTTTGCTACTGAATGTGCCATTGAGCTGTAGAGGAGAGTATACATCACATACAGTATTTGTTACGGGACTGTGCTGATTAGCATGGGTTATCTTGAGGTTATCTTGAGATGATTTCGGGGCTTTAGTGTCCCCGCGGCCCGGTCCTCGACCAGGCCTCCACCCCCCAGGAAGCAGCCGGTGCCTGCTGACTAACACCCAGGTACCTATTTTACTGCTAGGTAACAGGGGCATAGGGTGAAAGAAACTCTGCCCATTGTTTCTCGCCGGCGCCCAGGATCGAACCCGGGACCACAGGATCACAAGTCCAGTGTGCTGTCCGCTCGGCCGACCAGCTCCCCTAAACTGACTTTTTTCTCACTTCCTATATTACATATTGTTTTTGTTATTTCTTGATGTACTCCAGTGGGATGCAACTTACACTGAACAATAAACTGTTTGTCAATGAATTTAGTTTATAAATGTAAACAGTATTTGTATTATACAACACTGTTGCCCAGACCACAACACTAGAAAGTGACGGGACGACGACATTTTGACTTGTTGTTCCTGGACCATTCTCATGTCAAGTCGAAACGTCGTCGTCCCTTCACTTTCTAGGGTGTGGTTTGGTTAACATATTTCAGCCATGTTATTGTGACTCATTATCTGCTTATACAACACTGTTTGCCATTTCCAGACACAAGCAATGGATTTAAAGTGAATTTGGCAAATGTTAACTTTTATGATATACTGTACTGTATATATATAAATGCTTACTAGCCAAAGAGAAATTATAGAAATTTCTAGATATAGAAATATATAGAAAAATATAGAAATGATAAAAATTGATAGAAATTAGCAATAAGTCATTTGAAATATACACAAAGATAAAAAGATAAATGAAGATGAAGCAATAAATACTTAACATATAAGACAAATATCTAGTACTATACCAAGTTCTACTAGAAAACTACTTACGTGTTGAAGTACGGAGATGTAGTGCCAGCCATCTTCACGTTATCACACCCAAGAACAAAAAGGAGGCCGTAAAAACTTAGACCAATGAGGTTGAAGACCATAACCATCTGTATGGCACCTTTTGGGCGCAAGCTAAACCGTTTCAGTAGGTAGCCTCCCAGGAAGATACCGATACAAGCACCAGGAATAGCTATCCCACCTACAAAAGAGATTTCCATTCATAAATACAAGAGTTACGAACTATATTTTGTATAAAGTATGCTAAATTGTCTTTATAATTGTCTATAAATAACCCACCATTTCTTCATTAAGGAAATAATATTTCAAATTGTTTAATTTGTATTCATCCTAATCAATTATGTATCCAAGACATTCACCATATACATGAATAGAAAACAAATAAAAGTGTTTCAGTCCATCTTGGACCCTAATCAAGTTGTGTAATGGGCTGAAACATCATCATTTTCCTTTCTTTTCCTATGTGGGTTGGGTGTCAAATTTTGAGCCCCATTATTGTGACTTATTCTCTCGGTACAGTGTCGTGCTGTTGCACTAACAAGAGCTTCAAAACACTCACCAGTAAAGATAGAGGCCTGAACATTGGAAAGAAAGAACTGTGTCTCCAGGTACTTTGGCAGGAAAACGATGAAGCCGGAGACGATCATGAGCTCCATACACGCTCCCAAGCACGTCATGACATAGATGGGGTTCACTAGAAGCTTCAGCATTGATAGTGGAATATCTGAAAGGATGAGCACTGATTAGAATTTGCCTATTTTTATGATACTTTAATAGATTTGTAAAAGTATTTTAGCATTTGAATTACTGTATGTCGCAGACAAGCTATACAAACGAATCCTATGTGTGTTTATTTATGTAAGAAAATAGACATGTGGATGGACAGATGGGAGATAAACATACCGGGCAATCTGAGGTACCACCCCCCTTCCCAGTCTATATATAAGGAAAAATGCCTGACCAATGATACTGAGAATGAGATGTTTTCTTTCATATAGCTAGTTTTCCCTGGAACACAATCTATCAATAAGTTTACAACCAGGTCCCCAATTCCAGCTTTGTTAACAAAGACAAAAAAGATAGGATTGGTGCCTAGTTGAGCCTCCCTGTTTGAAAGCTTCATCTGGCTTCAAGTCAAATTAAAGTGCTTGAGGCATGGTGTCATACAGGTCAAAAGATTGAACTAAAAGTGGAGGTTCACTAAGAATGTGTAATATCACCATGACACGACTTGTATGGAGTGATTAATACTCAGGAATTGCCCTTTCAATTAAACAGTTGCTTACACTAACAGCTGCAAAACACCCTGAAATGCAAATATATTATATATAAAACCATGTTATTTCACTTAAAAAATAAGCCAGATATTGATTAACGAAATGCAAAAAGTTGATAAATTTGGGCCAACTCTTCTGCATGTTCATACAGTTCACTTACAAACATGAAGAAAATTTATTGTGTGTAAATTGCAGTACTGTATAATTAGCTTATTTTGTTAAGGGTCAAAGTTGCAAGATATTGTGGCATTCAGCAGATATTACTAGTCATAGTTTACAATATTACCACTCACCTCGAACATCTTTGCCATATACTCGCTTGGTGGAGAGTGTTGAGTGACGCGAGCATGTTGATGTCTGCGATTTTGTGCGACGATGACCCTTCTGAAATTCTTTTGTTTTCTCTTCCATCCTCACCTTCTCCTTTTCTTTCTGTAATCAAATATTTTGAAATTAGTCAAATACCTGAGCTCATATATATAAAACCCATCCTCCTGTTTACATACTGGAGTATTTTTTGTAACTATGTGCAACATAGTACAAACATTGAGGTACTAAGCAATTGGATAGTAGAATTTGGTTCTATTCACGTTATAGTCTAAAAAAACCAGTGTTGAATGTAATGAAATGCCATTTTCTGGGTGAGCCCCGGAGGCTCCCTGAAGCTATCCAAACTGACATGTGCAATATTAGTTTGGGGTCATCAGCCACGGGAGCCTACAGGAGACAACAAGCCAGAACCTGGTCCCCTTGGAGAGATGCAAGGAGCAATGGTCATATGAGCACTCTACATTTAGAGTATGTCATGTCTGCCATTGACCAGAGCACCCAGAAAAATAGGAGAAACAATACAATCCCCCAATTGGTGAAAATTGCAACATACGTCCGAACAGAGCCAAAGAACTCCCCCCAAAAGAAAACAAAACAAGCAAATCGTCATCCAACTAGCACGACCGCTCATTAATGCTCCTATCAAAAGGGAGGAGGGGGAAGCCCGCTCGGGCGGCTCACCACACCAGTTTGTGGAACTGGGGTAAAAGATGATGAAAATTGCCAACCGGAGGGAGGGAGAGAGGGTGTCAGGGAGCCTCTGGGGCTCACCCAGAAAATGGCGTTTCATTACATTCAATGCTGGTTTTCTGTAGGTAGCCCAGTCGGCTCCCTGAAGCTAACTACCCACAGATAAGTAAAAACAGCGACTTACCCGGGAGACTGCGGAACCAAAGATCTCAAGACAAAGATGAGACAACAGGCCACGTTGGACGTCCCAAAGCAACACAAGGCCGGAGAGGGGCCCAGAATGTTGACAAGATATCTGGTGGCTAGGACCAGCCCAACGGCCCCGGCCGGCCTGGTGAGAGCTGGTCACAGCCGCAATTGAGACGAGGCATCCGTGAACACACCAAGCGAGGGATGGAGAAGGTGCCATGGCACCGAACCCCAAAAACCCCCCGAAGAGGAAGTCGGTGATGCAGCAACTAACTCAAGTACCCCGGGGGGGGAAGAACTCAACTGATGCGAGAGCGGCAAAAGGGGCAGCCCCTTTTACACTGCTTATCACACTGTTAAGAGTCAAAACGATTTGCCAAGCAACCGCTGAGTGACCCGGGGTTCCCTCCACAACAGCCGAATGCAGGACCACAGCCAGAGCAAAGCCGCAGGAGTGAGGAAGACGGATCCCGTCTGAGAATTCCACACAAGGCCCAGCCAAGTCTGAACCTGGGAAGGAACCCACTGGGACTTCCTCCCACTCTCCAGGAACCCAAACCCAGCAAGCTGGGAAGGACCAGAACCCTGGCTAGCAGACAAGTAGACCAGGAGGGAGCCCACAACAACCAGCCACCAGAGCAGGCTGCCAGCCAGGAAGGCACTGCAACCTCAAAATGCCCCCAATCACGGAAAGAGGAACCGAACTCAAACAAAACCGGATCCAACACAGAGGCGAAACCGGGTCTTGCCGGAGACATGTGCCAAGGGCCTCTCAAACCCCCAAAGTTAAATCTGAGAGGAAGAAAACCTCCGAAAAGACGAATCCGAGGAACCCTAGGGCACCAGGAAACGAACCTAGGGGGAACCCTACCTACCACATTTGCCCCAAAAAAATCTTCTGGGGGGAGTTCTTTGGCTCTGTTCGGATGTATGTTGCTATTTTTACCAGTTGGGGGTTTGCATTGTTTTGCCTATCTTTCTGGGTGCCATCCCCAGTCAATAGCAGACATGACATACTGTACTCTAAATGTAGAATGCTCATATGACCATTGCTCCCTGCACCTCTCTGAGTAGACAAGGTTCTGGCTTGTGGTCACCAGTAGGCATAAAGAACTCCCATGACTGATGACCTCCAAACTAATATTGCACGTGTCAGTTTGGATAGCTTCAGAGAGCCAACCGAGCTCGTCACAGAAAATGAAGCTAAAAAATAAACTTAAATATTCCTATGCCTAGTATAGCACACATATGTACGATATTAGGCCTCAAATATCGTGTATTAGGCCAAAGAAGATTAGATTGGGTTAGTTTAGTTAGTCTTTGAAACATAAATAGAAAATCTTTTCCGGTTAGTCCAAATTCAATAGTACCAATTTCCACTTAATAACTGTGTTGCACGTCAGTATGTGTAATATGGTCCTCATCATTACTGTAAGTACTACCAAAACTGGAGGATCAGCTGATATATATGTGCAAAACATCTTTAAAATTGTGTGTTTTTCTTATGAGGACATGTGATTGAACAGGGATATCAGAGATATCCCTGTTCATCAGAGTCTGATAAACAGACTTGATATGTTGGATTGACAGATTGAGAGCTCTTTCTCGATTCGGTGGGTGGTGGTGCATGGCTGTTCTTAGTGATGATGGTATTCATCATCTGTCTGATGAATATCATCTGATATCCCTATCACAGTCTAGCTGCCTACTAAAATAGTAAGGTAAATAAGAAATGATGTTTGGTAATTGCTAGTGCATCGAGACATCTTTGATAAATTCCTTTAAATATATCTACCTAAAAGTAAAATATAATTTTAATTATTATTATTACTGCTATTATTATTTATTATAAAAACTATATAACCATCTGAGCTTCCATGTTTGCTACTTAACCCTTAATTGGCTCTAATCACTCTATGTGATTACCTTCTATCCTTGAAGCTCCAAATGTTATTTTTGTTAATTACTTTTCCGAAATATTTTTTCATGCACACAACAATACAGTGCATTTAACAGAGCCATTTAACCCCTGCACTGCGCACCTGTTTGGGCCAAAAACTTTATAGTGCAATTGTTAAGGACATATTTTTGTTGTTTTTTATAAATGTTCAGGTAAAGTTAATGTCAAAATGTTTCCAAACTCAACTATTTTCATTTCAAAACACAGTGATGAAAACATTAAAAAACATTAATATAAAGCCTAATAAAAAAAAAAAAAAAACAGACAAATCTCAAAACAGCATTTGTTGTTTGGCGCAGTGCAGTGGTTAAGAGTTAGAACGATTCACCCTAAATCACAGATAAAATATGTGAAGAAAATATACATAGTAATAGAGGATAACATAAACAGGGCTTACCAGAAGAAGAGCATCCAGTAACCCCAAAGGAAAATCAGTACCGGATTACTCTACACAACGCCTCATTCGGGGACCCACTGAGGGAAAGATCTCCGTCGATATATACATAAAAAAACCAGCATTGAATGTAGTGAAATGCCTCTTTCTGGTAAGGCCTCGGTGGCTGCCTGAAGCTACCGAGGCACCTCAAAAAACATCCTTACCTTTAGTGTCTTGGGAAACATGAAGAAAGGAATAGAGATCACTATGAGGAGAAGGCCACAGAGGAGGAAGCCACCCCACCACATCCCAATCCATCGTGGATGCTTATGATCTGGTCAGAGAAACAGACTATATTAGGCCTTAAACCAATCTATTTCCAGAGAAGGCTTAAATTATTGCAGAATTCCATATAGTCTAACAGATATTTAGAAAATCTAACAAAATGCAAGCACATTTAAAAGTGACATAAAAATAAATTAAATATCATACACTTTTGACTCAAGTAAAATATTTATATTGAACAATGTATTAATGCAGTACTATGATGTGGGGGACAAAACTGCTTGATAAGCATTATCAGACAGAGAATAAGTCACAATAAAGTGGCCGAAACAAATAACCCAACTCTCATGTGGAAAGAAATGAAGTGATGACATTTCGGACTATCCTGTACTAACCTGATAAGGATCCGAGATGGATGCAAAAATCATCACTTCATTTTTTTTCTTATGTGAAAGTTGGGGTATTCACAAGCGTGAATAGCCTTTTCATTTAAAAAATGTACATTTAATCCTGGTTGATACCTGGTTGATCCAAAACTAATCTCTGAATATTGAATGTGTAATGCTCACAAATAAAACACAAATTGCTACATTCATAGTGTAATACAGTACTGCATGTAGCATGACACCTCACCTGCTTGCATTATTGACGTATCAACAAAGAGTGTGTCCACATAATAGGATATGAGATACGCTCCGAGCAAGAATCCCAACACCGGTCCAAAGGCCACCATGGTGTAGATAATGCCTGTGAAGAAATAACATTATTATCCTATTACAATGCTTCCACTATAAGATGTTGTGAAGCATCACATATAAGACTACAGAAGATGTAAAAACTCACCATACAAGAGCAAATCAAATAAATCTTTCACATTAATGAAGCTTATTATTGGGCATAAGTTACTATTTCCATGGACGGGGAGAGGTGGCCTGTACTGTACTTAGGTTCATCGAGGCCCCCCTTCCCCAGGTCCTTTACTGAACCTTCCCAGGACGCAACTCCCACAACAGCCGCCCAGTTCAATACATTACCAAAATATTATACGCACGGTATTACTTTCATCATTTTTGCACGCGTTAAATTCTGCACATATTTAATACAGTACACGTGAATATACTGAACGAGACAAAAATATTCAAATAATCGTGAAAGAATTTCTGATAGAAATACTATGCTTTACAATACAGAATATTACAGTACTGTACAGAATTTTACCTAATTTTCCTGAGGGCATCTAACCCTACCGGCCTCGACGAGGACAGGAAGCTGGCGGCTTGTCAAAGGTCCCCTCCCCCCCATTTGCCTTGAAGTGAATGGAGAATACACTTGCCATTTGTATATTACACTACAGTACTGTACAGCATACAATACTGTACAGCATATTACAGTACTGTACAGTATAGTATTACAGTACTGTACAGTATATTACAGTACTGTACAGTATATTATAGTACTGTACAGTATATTGTAGTACTGTACAGTATATTACAGTACTGTTCAGTATATACAATACACAGGGTCCCGGTAGTACAGTAGGGTTCCTTATTGACTCAATCGGGAATTCCAGGGTTGAATCCTGGGCAGGACAGAAATAGTTTGGTGCATTTCCCATCACCCAATTACTGTTCACCTTGCAGTAAATAGGTACCCAGGAGTTAGTCAGTTTGTTGTGAGGCTGCAGCCTTTATGAGGTGTGTAGTGAAGACCTGGGGAAGAGGGAGTGATATCTCGAGGTAAGCCCAACACGTATATATGCACTGGCTGCCTCTTCCCCGACAGGCAAAAATTAGCATAGCAACCGAGGTTTTCACCATACCTATATACATTGAGGAGCTCTCCCTCTTCACATGGTCATCAATATATGTTGTTCCGAGGGTGAATAACGGCGAGCCTCCTGCACCAAGTAAGAGCTGAGCTAACATGAAGAACATCACTGGCATAACATTGCTGCGAGATCCCTTGATGCAATTGTCGGGTTTGCCGTACTGGATGCTGTTGTGAGAGCCCAGAGGCACACCTTTGGACAGGTCTGAGGAGAAAATAATAATCATCAGTGCATCCTGCTAATCAAAATAAATAATTTGTGTAATAATTATGCAGTAGCTATTGTGCACAGGAGAAAAAAAATCCTAAACTAAATACTGTAAAACATTTCATGTAGGAAATGTTTTTGACTAGTTAATAGTTCTTCTCTCTAGACATCACGTGAAAGCCAGTGTGGTTAAAGGAAATTATTTGCACGTTAATATCAATATACATATACAGTATAAGTTGCCCATCTTATGGGATAAGCGTAATACAAATTGTGTACACTCATTAGTACAAAACTTTGGTATTTTGAATACTGTAAATTTTATATGATTAAATCCTTTGTTTGTGAGGGTCAAATTTAATGGAAATTTGTATTTATTGATGTACAGTACTGTAGTGTACTTTTGTTATAAACCATAACTTGTGTTACTGGTAATGAGATTACAAAATTAAATCGCAGCACTTTAATTTGTAGTCACTTAAAAATAGTCACTATGCAATGACTATTTTTAAGCTTAACACAGCTTAATACAATTCTATGTTGTATTAATGCCTTGTAAAAGTTACACAATATAAAATGGTTATAAATACCTTAACCCATATACTGTATTGTATATGAAAAGTAATGAAAAGGGTGACATTTCCAGCTGTCCTGGACACTTCAAAATCATTTTATGCTTTCATAAAGGTCTATAATAGACCAAATCATCACCACTTTCATTTCTTTTCACAAGTGTGGATGGAGTTATTTGTTTCAGCATCTTACTGTGACATGCACTGCCTATAAATTATGCTCCGATTCCAAATTAAACTTACCTGGTAAGGTGCCAAAGCCGTACTCAGAAAGACGTTCAGAGGTATCGTCTCGCACTCGTGCATTTCTACAAATATTATTGCTGGAGTCTGTGTTGTTGATTGTTTCCAATTCAATAGACCAGCGGTCAGCTATAAGCTGGGGCATTACAAACAGCACAGATCCGACCCCCATCACACAACAACCTGAACAAGCATTACGTGGCATTTACATCCATATAATAAGAACTGAAGTGCGATTAAGTTTGTCATCAAGTTTGTCAGAATAAGTCAGTATTGCCAAAATTACTTATGATAGCACTTACCAACTCCTATCCAAACTGGAATTCGTCTCTTGGATCCTAAATACGACACAAAAATGACAGTAATAACATTTCCTATCTCATACATAGAAGAAATAACCCCAGTGAGAGAGGACGGGATCTCGTATCTCTTTTCTATGGTGGTGATGACGGAGTTGAGGTACCCTGATGCCAAAGCTTGCTGGACAGTCACCAGTATAGACAGCAAAAAAACAAAGATCTGTTGAAAACGCAATAAATCATTAATATTTAATTTGCTAAGGACATGACTGTTAAGGAGACTGCAGAAGGCTTATTGACCCATACGTGGCAGCTCCTATTTACATCCACCCACACTCATTAATACATGTCTAGCCTACACTTGAAACAATCATGCAATCCCACATCTAATATACAGTATTACATTGTTGTATACAAATGTACTTATGTATTCAAATTTGTTACAATATTACTGATACAGAGCATAGTGCTCGATTTTAAACAGCAAAAAGGCTTTAGTATAATGTATACTTTTAATAATGAAAAATTTCCATGGCCACCTCATTAGGAAGAATTCTATGCACTGGGAACGACAACATTATACAATAGTTTTAATTATTTACTTATTTAATTAACAACATGAGAATTTTTCACTATTATTCACACTTGCACTGTAAGCCTAATGAATGAACCAAGAGTACAGGGAGAGAGGACACATGTTTTTGGTCCACCTCTAACCCAATACATATTGTATTTACATGCACATAACCACGTGTTTTCTCCAAACAAAACCCACTTGAACATCACATGCAATAAATGTATGATAAAACATATAAAAATACATTTTTCTACAAAATATCTTTGGAAAACAGATGTATCTAATATGTCTGTTTTATGTCTAAAAATATGGTAGTTAGTTAAGTAGATACCCAACTATTGATCATAATTAGTTACAGAAAATTTGGAGATGATATACAGAACTACAAAATACTGTATGACATACTGTATTAGGCTCTGCATGAATATAATTTATTTTAGTACCTGGATTGTACCTGGATAGGGTTCTGGGAGTTCTTCTACTCCCCGAGTCCAGCCTGGGGCCAAGCTTGACTTGCGAGAGCTTGGTCCACTAGGCTGTTGCATGGAGCGACCCGCAGGCCCACATATCCACCACAGCCCGGTTGGTCCGGCACTCCTTGGAGAAAATTATATAGTTTTCTCTTGAAGATGTCCACAGTTGTTCCAGCAAAATTTCTTATACTCGCTGGGAGAATGTTGAACAACCATGGACCTCTGATGTTTATACAGTGTTCTCTGATTGTGCCTATAGCACCCCTGCTCTTCACTGGTTCTATTCTGCATTTCTTCCATGTCGTTCACTCAAATATGTTGTTATTTTACTGTGTCGATTTGGGACCCAACTCTCTAGTATTTTCAACATGTATATTATTTAATATCTCTCTTGTCTCCTTTCTAGTGAGTACATTTGGAGAGCTTTGAGATGATCCCTATAATTTAGGTCCTTTATCGCGTCTATGTACAAGTATGCCGAATATGTTCTCTGAAATTCCTCTATTTCAGCAATCTCTCCTGCTATGAAGGGGGAACTGAGTATCGAGTAATACTAAAAACGGGACAGCACAACTGATTTGAATAGTACAGTACAACCATTGTGATGGGATCCCTGGATTTGAAGGTTTTCGCAATCCATCCTATCATTTTTTTGGCTGATGCAATATTTGCTTGGTAATGCTCCCTAAATGCTAAGTCGTCAGACATCATTATTTCCAGATTCTTTACATGCTGCTCTTTACATGATGACGCTCCTATTATGGGCAGATTTGACCGTTTTGTACCCTGTATTTTAAGGTCCTCATTTTAACGTACCTGAATACTGTACCTGGAATTTATCACTGCTAAACATAACGTTATTTTATGCTGCTCAGTCAAAAACTATATTAATATCTGCTTATAGTTTTTCAATGTCATATTACTTCTTGCAGATAACCATCCAGCTTTTTCTTAAAGACCTCTAATTTTGTTCCAGTAATATTTCTTGTACACTGTACTTGCAAGGACGACACTGAACAACAGTGGATCCTTGATGTTCAGACAGTTCTTGGATTATGCCGTACTCTTCACTGGCTCTATTCTGCATTCCCTTCATATTGTTCACTCCAGTACATTGTTATTTCACTGTGCACATTTGAAACCTGGCCCTCCAGTATTTTCCATGAATATATAATTTGCTGCCTTTCAAAATTCATTTACTGAATGTTACTAGTTTTTACAATAAGGCACTCCCAACTTACATATGAGATGCATTTTGAAAGAGACATTCATAACTCGGAGCCAGAGTTTCCATAGTCTCAATAAATGAGAAATGCCTTCCAGGATTACCAAAAATTCAACATATAAAACCCAAATTTTTGGAACAAGTAATAAATGAAATCACTACTCTATTTCCTTTGAATAATAAAATTTGTCCTCCTTGTCTGATATGATGCTTTTTAATTAAAGAACAAAGAGGAATAATTACTAAAGGAGACAACAGAAGGTGATGCACCCTCAATGTACTTCCTCTTAATACTGTAATTAACGTAGTACTTTTTCTCGATAAACAACTAAAATAGTACAATGCAAGAATTCGTTTGTAATGCAGGTAAATGATTCTAAAACGGAGATTGTGAGGCAGATCTTAAGAATGGGTAGTAATAAGTGATAAGTTGGTTAAGCTGATAACTCATCAATAAGTTGGAGACGTCATGTACGATGCCACACTAATATCACCCCACACTTGCCAAACTTGCATGGGAGTTAAATAACATTATGATTTAATATTCAACAGCATACTTTTTTGGTGCATGACCATACAGGACAATTTTGGGTGAAAGATTGTTACCTTTATGTTGGCTAATCGCTGGAGAAAGGCCGGTCTGAAGGAGAAAAGACCACAATCATTGGAATCGACCTGAGGGGAACTGCTGGTGGTGATGGTGGCAGGGTTGGAGTGGGTATTTGCGCTGGTAGTTGTGTTATAGGATAACCCATGGTTACTGAAATTAGAAATACGCAAAATAGTTATAAGAAGAATATATTATTATAGTTATATAAAAGTTATATAAAAAATAATACCAAATACAGTTTTGGTATTATAATTAATTTCCCACATCTTTATATTTCACAATGTAACACACAGAAATATGATATTTTTGGTCCCAACCATATCATACCCTACTAAATCTCTGTTCATTTTGACTTTTATTTTCTAGACTGCTTTCACAGATGTATCTGAATACTGTATACAGGTCAGAAGGCATAAATTTGAAGCTAGATATACAGCTGAGCCACAGAAATGCTATATAATACTCCTTTAGCATAATTGTAGTGTGAATATGAACTGAATTTGACAAGGGATTGTAGACCCAAAAGCCTTCACAATTTTAAAAGACATGATAGGTGGCATGTAGGTCATTACATTAGATGATTAATGGTAGGAAAAGCAGGGCCCAAGAGATCAAGCTTGATCCTGTAGCAGACATTAGCGAGTATTCACACACACACACACACACACACACACACTATAATTGAGAGGGCAGCCTCTTCTGCGTGTAGAAAACGATCCCATCTGCTCATCATGAGGGACTTCAATCAAGGAAGGATAGACTGGGAGAACAAGGAATCGGATGGAGGTGAGGAAACATGGAGAGCTAAATTATTGGAGGTGGCAACAAAAACATTTTAAATCAGCATGTCAGGGAACCCACAAGAATGAGAGGAAACGATGAACCAGCATGACTCGACCTAGCCTTCATTCTGAACGATTCCGATATAAGGGAAGTCAGTTTCGAAGCCCCAGTAGGAATGAGCGATCAGGTGTACTGACGTTTGAGTATCTGGTTGAAGAAGAGTTAATGATCTCAAGGAAGGGACCTGAAAACAAAAGGATAGCATTCCGAAAGGGAAACTATGAGGAGATAAGAAAATTATTAACATATATAACATGGGAAACAGAGCTCAGGGGAAAGATGGCCCCAAACATGATGGACTACATCACTCAGAAGTGTAAGGAGGCAGGAGGCAAGTTTGTCCCAGTTCAAAAGGAAAAAACGAAATGAAGATGAATAACCCATGGTTTGATCAGAGATGTAAGCTAGCAAAGCAACAAAGTACAAGGGTGTGGAGAAACTATAGAAATAACAGGACGCTAGAGAGCAGAAAAAGATACCAGAGTGCCAGGAATGAATATGTCAGGGTGAGAAGAGAAGCAGAAGGGCAAAAATGACATAGCAAGCAAGGCAAAGACTCATCCTAAATTGCTGCACAGCCACATCAGGAGAAAAACAACAGTGAAGGAACAGGTAATGAAACCGAGGATAAGGGCAGACAGATTCACTACAAACGACAAGGAAGTGTGTGAGTAACTGAATAAGAAATTCCAGGTCTTCACCTTAGAGCCAGGAAAAATTCCAGAGATAAGAGAGGGAATAGTTAACCTGGCACCATTAGAAGAGTTTGGGATTACCAGTGGGGATGTAAGGAAGCTTTACCTAGAGTTGGGTGTGACAAAGGCTATAGGCCCGGATGGAATCTCACCTTAGATATTAATGGAAGGAGCAGAAGCACTGTGTCTGCAACTCTCCATAATGTATAACAAATCATTGGTAACAGGTGAACTGCCAAAAATTTGGAAGATGGTTAATGTAATCCTGGTATACATGAAGGGGGATAGACAGGATGCACTGAACTACAGGCCAGTGTCCCTAACCTGCATACCATGCAAGTTGATGGAGATGATTGTGCAAAAAAACTAGCAGAACATCTGGAGCAAAAGAACTTTGTAACACAGCATCAGCATGGGTTCAGGGATGGCAAGTCCTGCCTCACAGGATTAATTGAGTTCTATGACCAGGGAACAAGAATCAGACAAGAAAGAGGGGTGGGCAGACTGCATATTTTTGGATTGTCAGAAAGCCTTTGCCACAGTACCACACAAGAGGTTAGTGCAAAAGCTGGAGATGCAGGCTGGAGTGAAAGGGAAGGTACTATGTTGACCAGACCACACACTAGAAATTGAAGGGACGACGACGTTTCGGTCCGTCCTGGACCATTCTCAAGTCGAAGGTACTATATTGGATAAAGGAGTACTTAAACAAAAGACAGCAAGTCACTGTGAGGGGCGAGGTCTCAGATTGGCGAGGCGTCACCAGTGGAGTCCTTCAGGGTTCAGTCCTTGGACCTATACTGTGTCTGATATATGTAATGATCTTCCAAAGGCTATAGACTCGTTCCTCTTCATTGTTTGCTGCTGATGTAAAAATTATGAGGAGGATTGAAACAGAGGATGATAGTAGGAGGCTACAAGATGACCTAGACAAACTGCATGAATGGTCCAACAAAAGGCTACTAAAGGTCAACCCGAGTATATTTAAGGTAATGAAACTAGGAGGTGGAAACAGGAAGCCAGATACAGGATAGCGAATGGGAGATGAAGCCCTTCATGAAATGGACAGAGAGAAAGATCTAGTTGATATCACACCAACTGTCTTCTGAAGCCCACATAAAAAGAATAACATTAACATCTATGGCATATGCAAGGCTGGCTAACAACAGAATTGTCTTCAGGAACCTGTATAAGGTGTCATTCAGAACCTTGTATACCACATATGTAAGACCAATCCTAGAGAAGCCTCGGAGATTACCCAGCTGTCATAGCAACACACTGGAGAAGAATCATCACTACCCTCTCACCACAATCATTCCACCCTCTCGCCTCCATCGTTCCCCCCCCCCCCCTCCTCCACTATATTATAGCCCCTGAATAATGAATGCGACAGTCCACTTCTGGTCTCTCCCCCCCCCACCTCCCTCATCCAATGATCGAGCCCCACACCTCATAACCCCCCCCCCCCCTTTTTTTTTTACACCCAAGCCCTTCACATTCATAATTCTCGCCAGTTCCTCTGACCCCTTAGCTATACCCTGCAACACCCATCCACATACCCATCCATACACACACCCCTCTCCTACATCCACCCTATACATAATACATTAGTCCTAGACTATGGCCAGAACTAAACCATACTTGCTGGTTGGTCAGTAAGTTATTGTGGTGACCAATAGCATTTATCCACCTCCGCGGAGCCCTGCAGAGAGCTGCGCGTCAGCCTCAACCCCTAAAGTGCGCCCCACGAGTCAAGGCCCCGCGAACCCTGCCGCAGAAGCGTGTGCCAGTAGCCTGGAGGAGAACACCCCCACCACTGCTGCAGTGCTGATGGACCATGACCCAGGGACCTGCAGTGACAGCTTGCGACAGACAATCCACGTGAGTCTAAACACACACGCGTGCTTAACTGTCTCAGCCGACCTTAACGACAAGGCAGTGACCCAATTTAACCCACTGCAGCGACCCAATTTTACCCCCATCCACACACAGCCTCGCCCTCCTGACCTACATTTAATGATGAGCCTCATAGTATGTAAATGGGGATTAGGATTTGTTTAAACATGGGAGCGCGGTGTTGTGCTGAAAGGCCCGGCTCCAGTCAATAGGCAATTTATGTTGGTAATGAGGACAGCAACGGGTGTTGATATGAGCTCTGCTTCTGCCACCAGTGGCATGTCTACTGCCACCAGTAGCATGTCTACTGCCACCAGTGGCATGTCTACTGCCACCAGTGGCATGTCTACTGCCACCAGTAGCATGTCTACTGCCACCAGTAGCATGTCTACTGCCACCAGTGGCACGTCTACTGCCACCAGTGGCACGTCTACTGCCACCAGTGGCATGTCTACTGCCACCAGTGGCACGTCTACTGCCACCAGTGGCACGTCTACTGCCACCAGTGGCACGTCTACTGCCACCAGTGGCACGTCTACTGCCACCAGTGGCACGTCTACTGCCACCAGTGGCACGTCTACTGCCACCAGTGGCACGTCTACTGCCACCAGTGGCATGTCTACTGCCACCAGTGGCATGTCTACTGCCACCAGTGGCATGTCTACTGCCACCAGTGGCATGTCTACTGCCACCAGTAGCATGTCTACTGCCACCAGTGGCAAGCTTAGACATGAAAAAGTGTTCTCAAATATATTTTTGACGCCAATGTTTAACATTTTAGGAAGATAATAAGACTGACTCACCTGTGGACCAACTCGGCTGTGGAGTCGACGGTGGAGGTGGTGGCGGTGGAGGTCTCCATGAGGGAAGGTCCGCCCTCCAGTAGACTATCCTCCATCACCCCTCCTCCATCGGCCTTGAGGGAAGGTAGGGCGCCATTATCGAAGCCTAGCCCGCGCGGCTGACCACTCAGACTCTGGGTGCTGGCAGTGCTGTTGTTGCGACTGATGGAGGCGCCGCCCCGGAGGCTGGGGTTGCTGCTGTGTCGAGTCCTGCCGCCGGCGACGCTGCTGGCGGTGCTGCAGGTGCTGCCGTTGCGCGAGGCCCTGGCCGCTGGGGCGGGCGCTGAGGGTGCCACAGGGGCGCTAGGGAGCCTGGCAGCCATCTCCAGGTGCTGCTGCTGCTGCAGGTGGGGCAAGGTCTTGTGCAGTTCGTGGTGGGTGTAGAGACCTGAGCGGTGGTAGGCATCGCCCTGCTCCTGTCGGCACAACATATTATGGTAACATGCGCAGGGAAACAGCATCAAGTATACGCAGATAAATCACAGATTGATTGATTAATGAAGATTAAGTCACCCAAAAGGTGGCACGGGCATGAATAGCCCGTAAGTGGTGGCCATTTTGAGCCATTACCAGTATCAAGAGCTGATACTGGAGATCTGTGGAGGTGCGACTGCACCCTGCGTGACGGGAGATGTCTCCCGTGGCAGATAAATCTCACTAATGTCATTATATATCAACGAGATAATCAACCGAAGCTCTGTGAGGCGACTGGAACTCGTGGCTCAGAGGGCGAGGGAGGGAATTATCAGGGGGGAAACCGCCAAGCCATTACGACTATATAGCACTTAGAAGAGGTCAGGATAAGGATTTGGGATGGGACGGGGGGGGGGAGGGGAGGAATGGTGCCCAACCACTTAAGTCTGATATCATACTACTTGTGAAGGAGGAAATGTATATGTTTATCTCTCAGAATGTTCAGTAATACGTTTATTGTTTGTGATGTGTGTGTATGTATGTATGTATTAACACGATGTACTGAACGGGGTGAGAATAGCTTGAGCTACCTCATCCCTTTGTGTGTATTTTACCTCAATAAACTTATTTCAATTTCACTTGGACGGTCGGGGGATTGAACGCCGACCTGCATGAAGCGGGGTCGAGTCACCTCAGAGCTCCACATAATGTTCTCAACTATCATCAACATGCACATAAATAACGTCCCCCCCCACACATATATAATCAATGAAGCAATAACACACTATTCACTCTAATGTAAAGCCAATATGAATAGCCATGTACAATCAATAAACTAATATTTTATCCAATGTTGCTACAATCAATTTGAACAACCAACATAATGTACAATCCATATTGTATATTAAAGTGCACTAATTTGAACAATCAACATCTTTCACTATTATGCAACAATTTCCAACAACCAATCATGTTCTGAACACCCTCCCCCCCCCTCCTAGTAGTTACAATAATAGTAACGTGTCATAAACGTTGATCCAACGTCGCACCAACGTTACTTCAACGTCGCGCCAACGTTACTTCAACGTCGCGCCAACGTTACTTCAACGTCGCGCCAACGTTACTTCAACGTCGCGCCAACGTTACTTCAACGTCGCGCCAACGTTACTTCAACGTCGCGCCAACGTTACTTCAACGTCGCAGCTACGTTAATTCAACATCAAGTCAACCTTGATTTAAGGTTACACCAACGTTCATTCCGTCATCAATGTTAATGCACCAAAAGGAATCACCCAGGAGTATCTGGGTGCACAGGTTCGAATCTCCCTTTCTCCTCTTCGCGGTTCTGGAGGGTAGAAATAGCCTAAGCTACTCTCTCTCTCTCTCTCCTTTTGACACGTATTATATTTCTCAATAAACGTGCTTTAACTTTTCTCGTTAATGTTATCACTGTTAATATAACGCCGAGTTAAGGTTAAATCAACGTTGGGTTAACATTGTTCAACGTTTAATTAAACTTAATTCAACACCCTGTAGGCACAATATCCAAACCTGGCGTTGGTTCGACGTTGTATAAACGTTAATTTAGCGTTGACGACGTTGATTTGGCGTTGGATTAGTAATGCTCTTGGATATTGAGCCTACTTGACATTTGATCAACGTCGGATCAACGCTGCGTCACTCAGGCTTACTCAGCGTCGTTTAACTCACCATGGCGGGCGTCCTGGAAGCGGCCATGACTGCTCGATGGGTCGGCCGGTCGAAGCCCTCGGCAACACCACCGCCTGAAGGAGTGTAGCTCAGTGCGAGGCCAAGGGGCCGAGGCGGGGCAAGACCAGAGGACGGTCAGGGCCGGGTCGAGGGCCGGGTCGAGGGCCGGGTCGAGGGCCGGGTCGAGGGCCGGGTCGAGGGCCGGGTCGAGGGCCGGGTCGAGGGCCGGGTCGAGGGCCGGGTCGAGGGCCGGGTCGAGGGCCGGGTCTGAAGGTCGGGGACGTTAGGGAACCCTTACCCGCCAGCCATCACTGCGGAAAGAGAAATATAGATCAGTCATGGTTGATAAAGAACAAAGTTCCTCTGTCCGGTGTAAGTATTTACCCATTTCTCGCCGGCGGAAACCCGGAGGAAACCTAGAGGGAACCTAGAGGGAACCTAGAGGGAACCTAGAGGAAACCTAGAGGGAACCTAGAGGGAACCTAGAGGGAACCTAGAGAGAACCTAGAGGGAACCTAGAGGGAACCTAGAGGAAACCTAGAGGGAACCTAGAGGGAACCTAGAGGGAACCTAGAGGGAACCTAGAGGGAACCTGAAGGGAACCTAGAGGGAACCTAGAGGGAACCTAGAGGGAACCTGGAGGAAACCTAGAGGGAACCTGGAGGAAACCTAGAGGGAACCTGAAGGGAACCTAGAGGGAACCTGAAGGGAACCTGGAGGGAACCTGAAGGGAACCTGGAGGAAACCTAGAGGGAACCTAGAGGAAACCTAGAGGGAACCTAGAGGGAACCTAGAGGGAACCTGGAGGAAACCTGGAGGGAACCTAGAGGAAACCTAGAGGGAACCTAGAGGGAACCTAGAGGGAACCTAGAGGGAACCTGGAGGAAACCTAGAGGGAACCTAGAGGGAACCTAGAGGGAACCTGAAGGGAACCTAGAGGGAACCTGAAGGGAACCTGGAGGGAACCTGGAGGGAACCTAGAGGGAACCTAGTGGGAACCTAGAGGAAACCTAGAGGAAACCTAGAGGGAACCTAGAGGGAACCTGAAGGGAACCTGGAGGGAACCTAGAGGGAACCTAGAGGGAACCTGAAGGGAACCTAGAGGGAACCTAGAGGAAACCTAGAGGGAACCTAGAGGGAACCTAGAGGGAACCTAGAGGAAACCTAGAGGGAACCTAGAGGGAACCTAGAGGGAACCTAGAGGGAACCTAGAGGGAACCTAGAGGGAACCCGGAAGGAACCTAGAGGGAACCTAGAGGGAACCTAGAGGGAACCTAGAGGGAACCTGAAGGGAACCTAGAGGGAACCTGAAGGGAACCTGGAGGGAACCTGAAGGGAACCTGGAGGAAACCTAGAGGGAACCTAGAGGGAACCTAGAGGAAACCTAGAGGGAACCTAGAGGGAACCTAGAGGGAACCTGAAGGGAACCTGGAGGAAACCTGGAGGGAACCTAGAGGGAACCTAGAGGAAACCTAGAGGGAACCTAGAGGGAACCTAGAGGGAACCTAGAGGGAACCCGGAAGGAACCTAGAGGGAACCCGGAAGGAACCTAGAGGGAACCCGGAAGGAACCTAGAGGGAACCTAGAGGGAACCTAGTGGGAACCCGGAGGGAATCTGGTATGAACTTGGGTAGCCTGGATGGACCGATTGACCTAATAACCAGGTTAGGTTAGGTTAAGTGGCAATTACCACCCTAGTTACTGAAGCTGGCATCAGAGGAAGGGGCACCGAGACAGTGCCACCACAGGTCCAGGAGCCAGGTCCAAGCAGGTGTACTAGCACAACAGAGCTAGTAACAGGTGCCCACAGGTGTAAACCTTGGCATTGGCTCAGTTGTAAACCATGCATAGACTCCAGTGTAACTTTACATTTACCTTGAGGTTACCTTGAACTTTCCTCGTTGACCCTGGGTTACCTCCAGGTGATTTCGAGGATCAATGTCCCCGCAGCCCGGTCTCTGACCAGGCCTCCTGGTTGGTAGTCTGGCGAAATAGTGTAGCAGCAGCAGAGAGAAATGGCACTCTTAGTGTGGCCCAGATGCCATGTCCTAATTGACCTGTCTGCCTCCAGTGCCTGGAGAGGCTGGCATACGCCCTTGAGGTGCTCCTCGCTCGATGGTACAAGTAACAGTTCCACAACAACCAATATTATGCCAATATTTCCTTATTTACACCTGAACGACCACTATTTCTAAGAATATTTCCTTATTTACACCTGAACGACCACTATTTCTTAAGAATATTTCCTTATTTACACCTGAACGACCACTATTTCTAAGAATATTTCCTTATTTACACCTGAACGACCACTATTTCTTAAGAATATTTCCTTATTTACACCTGAACGACCACTATTTCTTAAGAATATTTCCTTATTTACACCTGAACGACCACTATTTCTTAAGAATCTTTCCTTATTTACACCTGAACGACCACTATTTCTTAAGAATCTTCACTTATTTACACCTGAACGACCACTATTTCTTAAGAATCTTCACTTATTTACACCTGAACGACCACTATTTCTTAAGAATATTCACTTATTTACACCTGAACGACCACTATTTCTTAAGAATCTTCACTTATTTACACCTGAACGACCACTAACACCTGAACGACCACTATTTCTTAAGAATCTTCCTTATTTACACCTGAACGACCACTATTTCTAAGAATATTTCCTTATTTACACCTGAACGACCACTATTTCTTAAGAATATTTCCTTATTTACACCTGAACGACCACTATTTCTTAAGAATATTCACTTATTTACACCTGAACGACCACTATTTCTTAAGAATATTTCCTTATTTACACCTGAACGACCACTATTTCTAAGAATATTTCCTTATTTACACCTGAACGACCACTATTTCTTAAGAATATTATTTACACCTTATTTCTTACACCTGAACGACCACTATTTCTTAAGAATCCACTTATTTACACCTGAACGACCACTATTTCTTAAGAATCCACTTATTTACACCTGAACGACCACTATTTCTAAGAATATTTCCTTATTTACACCTGAACGACCACTATTTCTAAGAATATTTCCTTATTTACACCTGAACGACCACTATTTCTAAGAATCTTTCCTTATTTACACCTGAACGACCACTATTTCTTAAGAATATTCACTTATTTACACCTGAACGACCACTATTTCTTAAGAATATTCACTTATTTACACCTGAACGACCACTATTTCTTAAGAATATTCACTTATTTAGACCAGAACCACTTTTTTTAAGAATATTCACTTATTTAGATTTAGACTTATTTAGGAGTGATTTTGAGAGCTGTTCTAATATCAACCGGGAGGCCTGGTCGGAGACCGGGCCGCGGGGCCATTTATCCCCGGAAGCTACAAAAAGGTACCTGGAGGCACAAGGTAGACTCCCCCAAGTCTCCCTTGGCCTTGAAATGACGATCTACGAGACTGTTGATGGCAGCAAGGTGTAATATTTAGTATGTGGGGGGGGGGGTTACCTTGAGGTTACCTTGAGGTGCTTCCGGGGCTTAGTGTCCCCGCGGCCCGGTCCTCGACCAGGCCTCCACCCCCAGGAAGCAGCCCGTGACAGCTGACTAACACCCAGGTACCTATTTTACTGCTAGGTAACAGGGGCATAGGGTGAAAAACTCTGCCCATTGTTTCTCGCCGGCGCCCTGGATCGAACCCGGGACCACAGGATAACGCGTCCAGTGTTCTGTCCGCTCAGCCACCGGCTCCCTAATACCTTACTCGAGGGGCTTCGAGGATTAATGTCCACGCGGCCCGATCTCTGATCTGACTTCCTGGTTGTTCCTCTGATCAACTAAGGCTGTTGGAGGCTGCTGCTCGCAGCCTGACATGTGACTCACAATCTGGTTGATCAGGTATAATTTGAAGGTGTTTATGTGTGGAGGCTTCTAGTGTGGAGGCCTGGTCGAGGACCGGGCCGCGGGGACACTAATGCCCCGAAATCATCTCAAGATAACCTCAAGATTATTGCGTTCTCTCTCGAACTCCATACAAAACCAATCAGTTATGCCCCTTATGTGCAGAGGGAATGTGTTGAACAGTCTCGGGCCTTTATGTTGATGGTGTTCTCTCTGAGCGTACCTATTGTACCTCTAACGTATCAATCGGGCTATTTTGCACATCCTGCCATGCCTGCTGATTTCACGTGATGTTATTTCCGTGTGCAGATGCGGTCCCCTCTAATAGTCTCCACGTATAGTATACATTCTTATGTATCTCTCTCGCCTGTGCTCAAGAGAATACACATTGATTACTTTTAATTACTCCCAATAATTTAGATATTTTAAAGAATGGATTCTAGCAGTAAAGGCTTTTTGCACGCTCTCCAAGTCAGCAATTTCCGCAGCTCTGAATGGGGCTGTTAGTGTGCATCAATATTCCACCCTAGAGAGCACTAGGGTGTTAATTTTTTTTTTAACAATTTCACCTTTCTATGTATCAAGGCAAAAAGAAACAAGAATCGAAATCCAATTTGAAGACATATGAGGATCGTCAAATTTAGTGATAAAATGCTTCGTCGTCCAGAGATATGGAGGTTTGTTCCCCTGTAAAATGTCCAGATTCCGTTCTGTCTGTTCTGCTTTCTGTTCTAGTTGCCTTTCTTCAATCTGATAGGAATCTTGAGGTTATCTTGAGATGATTTCGGGGCTTTTTAGTGTCCCCGCGGCCCGCTCCTCGACCAGGCCTCCACCACCAGGAAGCAGCCTGTAACAGCTGACTAACACCCAGGTACCTATTATACTGCTAGGTAACAGGGGCATAGGGTGAAAGAAACTCTGCCCATTGTTTCTCGCCGGCACCTGGGATCAAACCCGGGAGGATCACAAGTCCAGCGTGCTGTCCGCTCGGCCGACCGGCTCCCTTGAATGCTTCAGTCTCTGTACGATTTCTTCACTCCAAGTTTAAATTAGTCCTTCTTTGTAGGGAAAGTTGTGTTTGCTTCAGCATTTCCGTTAATTTTTTCCTCCTTTTGTAGTGTCGTCTGCGTTCTCTTTCTACGTTGGACCTCTTCTTTCTAGAGACAGACAGACGACTACGGCCAAGTTGTTTTTTCATTAATATGCAAATTAGTGGAGTCTCCGACATTACGTGCTCAACCATCCTCAAAAAGGCAGCCGGTCGGCCGAGCGGACAGCACGCTGGGCGTGTGATCCTGTGGTCCTGGGTTCGATCCCAGGCGCCGGCGAGAAACAATGGGCAGAGTTTCTTTCACCCTATGCTCCTGTTACCTAGCAGTAAAATAGGTACCTGGGTGTTAGTCAGCTGTCACGGGCTGCTTCCTGGGGGGTGGAGGCCTGGTCGATGACCGGGCCGCGGGGACACTAAAAAGCCCCGAAATCATCTCAAGATAACCTCAAGATAACCATCCACACCACC